ACCCGAGCTTCAAGGGAACCTGACAGCCCCAACTCCCTGCCGCATCAGCAAACTTTCTGTTGCTGCTGTTACACAGGTTAGACCCAGTGTTGTGGCTGACCACCAGCTGGCTGTGACACCCAGCGCTGGGGGGTTTGAGCTGGCTGAATTCAACTGCTACAGCCGCTGACTAAAAGTAAATCTCCTGAGTTGGCTAGCTTCTTAATTCCTCTCGAAATTTGCGGTTGGATAAAGTGAAAGACAGACTGGGACGGAGTGAATACACTACATGCAACTCTACAATGAAATAAGATTATGTGTGGGTATGGGAAACACTGGGTTATTGTGTGAAGCGTGTGCATGTGCCTGTGGTCGACTGGTAGGAGGAGCTTAGGACAGAGAGGAGAGAGCTGCAGGAGGAGCGGGGATTTTCAGATTGTGCCTTTTTTTCCTCCTCCAGAAAACCGCCTACCACAGCTTTAAAATAAAGGGCAACAAAACAGAAATCCCAGGGGTCAGATGTATGGCGATGTCTTTGCATAAAAACAGTTTTTACATGAGTATATTCAAAGGAAGAGACTGTTTGAACCTTTAGGCATAAATCATAGAAACACAGGTTTCCAAAGTGGCGTTCAAGAACCCCAAAGGGACAACGATTAATATGAAGGTTTACATGAAGATTAATAGGATGAAACACAAATATTTTGTTACAGAAAATTCTGTTAATTTTTCCTGAATTCTCTCTAATTTTACCTTTTTATTCCCAGATGAAACACTGGATACTTTAACCTCTTCAGGACCTTAAAAAATCTTTAAAATTACCTAATCTCAGGAGGGATTTATACTTCTGCGTTGAATCGACACCATAGCCTGACGTGCACCTCCCCAGAGATTAACTCTACATCACAGTGACGCAGACCTCCTGTCTGTCTCTGTAAGCTGAAACCATTTCCCTCAGTGGAAACAAAACTTTTTTTTAAAGATTATTTTTTGGGCTTTTTGCCTTAAATTGACAGGACAGTGTGAAATGGGGGGAGAGAGAGAGTGGGGGGGATGACATGCAGCAAGGGGTTGCAAGCCGGAATCAAACCTGCGACCGCTGCAGCGAAGCATCGCCTCTGTACATGGGGCGCCGGCACTATCCACTACGCTACTGACGCCCCTGGAAACAAAACTTTGATTTACTTTAATTTCACAGATAAGAAACAATAAATTGTGAAGACAATAAAGCCTCCACACACTGTGTGTGATTTATCCTGGCTGAAATATGAGCAGAGGAAATCTCTGCTAGCTGCTAGGCTAATTTATACAATGTAAAATACCATAGGCTTGTGCTAATAACGTTAGCATGTTGTATTTGTGGGGAAAATGTGTCCAGATAAAGACAAGTGTTGAATGCTGCGAGTTATAGTGAAGCTCATTTGTGTTTGACACTGTCTCTATTAAGACATGTTAATGTGTGTTTAATGTGTGTTTTGTGTGTTTAATGTGTGTTTAATGTGTGTTTTGAGCACTTCACAGAAACAAATTTGGAGCACTTCACAGAAACCGCACCACTGATTTGTGGTTTGGAGGTGTAACTGCAGAGTGACACAGACACACCACTGCACAAGTATAAATGCTCACAACAGCGTAGACTACTGATGCACAAGCATAAATCTGCCTTTAGAGGGAACAGTCCAAGGAAACGTCAGATTTTCACAGACTTCTTTGTGTTGATCAACAGACTTTTTTCTCTGGAAAAAGCTTAAAGGGATAGTAGTGACATGTTTTCGCTGGTCTCGCCCGCAAGCGCACACGTGAGCGTGGTGCCCAGAGAGGCAGTCAGAGCTACAGGCTACAGTGAGGCTAAAAACAGAGTTCAAATGAGGTTTTTCCAAACAACTTTTTATGTCGGGGCTTCAGGACACTTGGATCACTACGGACGAGCAGTATGGAGATATTTTGTGGTTTCAATGATGTGTTTTTGGACGTTTGAATCTGGGGCGCCGTCAGCCTCCATTAGGTGGAGTTGTGTTGCTACCTCCTCTCCCCTTGGATCTCTGCAAGTGATGTGAGGACTCTAAAACTTCACCTGAGCCTCCCTCGGCATATGGGTGAGGAGATAATGGCTGAATTTACATTTTTGGGTGCACTATCCCTTTAATAAGTATAATTATAGAAGAATAGTACAATTACGTGATTGTACATATATTTCATATCATATATAAACTCAAGAGTTCTGTGTTAAGTTGCTGTTTAATTTTGCATGTTCGATTGGAGTTTTATTTGTCTCTTTCACCTTTTATCTTTCAGTCTGTTTCAATGTTAAGTGCTCTATAACTAAATCATGTCTGATGTTTGATACTGACTGAGACATCTGTGCAGGTGAAAGTTTACAGGTGCGTGTGATAACTGGATGATTAAACCTGTGTCAGAAGGACCTGCTGTTGCAACACAGTCAGTTCTTTCATTGGCAGGTCTAAAGTCCTGTAGAGCAAAGGTAAGCACCTGTAGTAGCAGCAGTGCTACAGTAGGTGCACACGAGTTATTCTGGGTGTGTCTGTCTGTGTCTATTAATAGTTAACTGTGGGAGTGGAGGTCAGGCTTGTGTGTGTTGTTTCACCACAACTGAGAGAATCATTAAACAGATCCGCACTGTCACAACTGAACACAATACACACAAAAGGTTTTAAACATCTGGCCGCTGGTTTATGTGACTGACACCACAGACTAAAGCTCTCCTCATCATGACGAGGAGCTGCAGACTGACCTTTGTCCTGTGTAAGATCTCAGGTGAGATGAAGAAGGCAAAATGTGCGCGGTGTGTAAACATGATTTGGGACAGGAGGACTTTAAACAACACGTTACAAAACCCATTTCCTAGAAGTTATCTACTGTGGGACGGCTGTCAGCAGAGGAATGTGTCAGATCTTATCATTTAACAAAGTGCTTGTGTTGTAAGAGCAGACGTCAAGTCTCGGCTGTGATACACTCATCCTCAGTATTCAATTTTTAAATAATGAGTGTGTATGAGCGTGTGTCAGCTTCCTGTCACCACACAGGCTTCATAAAAAGATGCTCTGACAGCTTCAGACCAACATAGTGTGTGTGTGTGTGTGTGTGTGTGTGTTGTGAGTGCTAAAACTAAACATGAGAAAACACCCTTCTTTCGTTCAGTGCATTGTCAAGTCTTCGTTCCCTTCTGGTGATCCTAAACTCACTATATTGCAGGTCACAGTTGTGCTCGGGCTAAAAACAGACACTAGGAGGAGTTCAACATTTTGGGTAACACACTTATTAGCTTTCTGTCTGAGTATTAAACACAGATCTGGAGTCAGGATGAGGTTAGCGTGGATCAGTCTAAAGCACGCTGTGTCTCCACTGTTTCACTGCTTCCTGTTTCACATAAACAGAAATGTTAAAAAGATCATTTGTGGTTTCACAGGGAGTTATATGCTGGAACTATTTCTTGCCAAACAAGTCTTGTTCTCACAGTAAGGTTGCCAAGTTTAGCAACACGGACACCATAATGCTGCGTTTACACAATGAGTGATACAGCAACAGGTTACAAGTGATGTTCAATGGAAGCTAATGACATGAAGCTATAAATTGACGCCCAGCACGTGACAATGTGTAACGGCGCGACACGCTACAATTCAAAAGAGCTAGTTTCAACCTTTTTCAGCACTCCAGTGATGCTGTGAAGCGTCAACCAATCATATGTTTTTGTTTCTGGCTGAGCGTTACCTAGCTTACTTAGCTGTTGCTATGCTAACATTTTGTTTACTGCAGTGAACACAGGAATGCAGCTTCTTTCCAAGAGCTGTGGATTCTCTCCTCAGACATAAACACACACTATTCTCATAAAAACACACATACACTTACCTGACGAACAGTACAAGTGCAATATCTGTGCATTATTTTATTTTATCTGTGCATTATCTATATTTATTTATTTACTTATTTATTTATTACCTAACCCTATTTATGCCCTTTTTATGCTGACTTTTGGTGCTGCAAAAGAAATTTCGTTGTGTTTTTTATATGCAATGGCAATATCTATCCATCTATCTATCTATCTATCTATCTATCTATCTATGAGAATGGGGCAGAAATGTGTGATGTTAAAATGCAGCTCAGACATTGATCAAAAGCAAAGATACCTTTGACCAAATACAAACTTAAAGGAAATGGCCAGCTTTAGAATGACTAGAAAAGCACTCAGAGAGTGCAGACCTCTGCCAAGTATGTGATATTCCCTCCCCCTCTGCATCAGATTTTGCAGCCTGCATCACAATTAGGTTATTTGCATCACTATCATTATGAGGCTATATATGTCGTCACCATGGAGACACTGTGGTGTATTTATTTCGTTTTTATTTTGTACCAACACAGAATATAATATGATTTTTTGTATTTTTCACTTTGTTTTTTTTTCCAACACAGAACATTAATTTCAACTTTAGAATTACAACAATATTTAGCAAGTGGAACAAGACGTGCTTTCCGGCCACCAGATGGCGCTATTTTCACCGTCTTAATTGCTGCTGAGGCACAAAACTCGTTCGGGGTATCAGAGGATAACAGCTAGCCAGATTTTTCCATACACTTGAAGTGCATGGAACCCACATTTTGAAAATGTATTAAAACTCCACTAATGCATTTCAAAAACGTCACAACGGCTCGTCCGTCGTAATCCAACTGCCCAACTCGCGCGAGACTAGCTGATGGCTAGTGGTGGTGCTAGTTCTCGAGTCTTGCGCGAGTTGTCATGTAAACACAGCACTCCTGCAGGGCAGGCTGACTGACCATGGTGAGAAATGATGCTATAAAAGTGGAGTAAATTACGTCTTTTCAAGTCAATGTTGCATGCCGCGGCTTCAGGGCACTTGGATAATGACGGATGAGCCGTTCTGATGTTTTTGAAATGCATTAGCGGAGTTTTATTACATTTTCAAAATGTGGGTTCTGTGCACTTCAAGTGTAGCTGTTATTCCAGCTAGCTGTTATCCTCTGATACCCTGAACGAGTTTTGTGGATTAAAAAACTACACTGGACTTGTTGTCGGCATGAGGATCAGTAAGTACTGTCTGTACTTTCATTCTAAAGTGGACATTTGCTTTAAGTTGTTCCGTCAAGGTGCTTTTTTGTGTGTAGACACACATGCGCCAATGATGACGTAACGATCTAAACAAGTGCTTCAGCAACACTTCAACAGTGACTCAACGAACATGTAGCTGGTTACGCTGTTGCTTTGTCACCACGTGTAGGAACAACAGTGTAAAACCTGTTCTGTTATTACTGTTAATATCAGCTGTATCTGGCAGCCTGCGCTGTAGCTGGAGACACTGTTGTTTGTCAGGACGTTCCAGCACATAACTCCCACCTAAACTCACCTGTGGACGTTTTTACATTTCCTTTATGGAATGACAAATAAATCCGATTTTTAAAATGTTTTTTTTTTTTTTGAGGTGATACAAGCAGAGTATTTTTTCACCTTCCTACTGCTTCCAGACTTTATGCTGAGCTGATTCTGACTCACTGGATGCAGACTGGGGCTATTTCAGCCGGCATTCTCTCCCCTGCTGCTAACTGCACGATACCGTTTTCCAACAACAACAACTTCCAGGTTAAAAATTTAAATGCCAAAAACAGCACGTTTTGACAAAGACTTGGATCGTGCAGTACGGCATGCTTGCTTTGCTCTTTCTGTGAATTGTTATAAAGATCTACAACAAATAAAACAACTTGCAAACACACCTCTGAGAAGCCCAGACTGCCACTCACAGGGCTCTCGTGCCCCTGATGTTGCTCCATTTTCTGACATGGCCAGTCAGAGTTGATTTGCAAAAGCCACTTACAGCCAGCAAATCGTCTGCAGTTTCTTCCAGAGCTGTAGTATAATCAGGCTTCACCTCTACAACACAAATTATCAAAATAAATTTGTCTTTTTTATCAGTTCAAGTTGACAGTGGACTGCTGCTGTTTTCTGCTCTCTTTGCAGAGAATTAGCCATTTTAAAGACAGTGCTCGTCTCCCAACATGCAAATGTTCCACCAAAACAAGCCGCTGCATCCTGGGCTTCGCACCGCCACAGTCAAGTGTGACTGGTTTACAGGAATACAAACAAGTCAGAGTATTTTCATTCCCTACAGCAGATTGATAATGAGTGCTGCAGACCTTTCTCTGGCGCTGACACAGCTCTATAGATAAAGGTCTGGCTAAGCGAGATCATGCTAAGCTGAACATCCTGATTCCAGCTCTTTTCAGACAGAAAGCAAACGACTACATTACCCAACATGTCAAACTACTCCTCTAACAACTTAACATTCATATGTACTTTTTCTACTTCAGAGCTTTTACATATAAATCAAGGATGATTACGACATACAAACATTTGTTAACTACCTGTGACAGATATTTGGCCCTTATATGGCTGCTTTTTGTTAAACTGGTCGAGAGTCACCAAGGCAATCGTTCAAACGAGGTGAGAACGATGTTAGTCAAACACAAACATGTTAGTCCTCCATTCTTGTGTTAAATCAATTTCCACACAGAACTCCCTACGAATCATGAGATAATGAACTGTGCGCTGGTCTCCTCTTTCCTACCGCTGTAAAACCTTGGATGTATCAGTGCTGAGCTACAGACGTCTGTAAAAAGTCAAGTGAAAATGTAAAAAGAGGAGGACCGAGCGACCAGTTAACTAGTTGTAACTCACACATTCATGGCCCCTCGCTGTTGGTCGTTTCTACGTATGGCACGCTTTAATAGCACAGTACTGACATGCTACTCTGCCTTGGATCCTTTAGAGGAGCCTCTGAGGTAGGTGTTGTAGAAGAACAAGGCGAAGAGGACCAGGTAGCTGAGGTACATGAGAGAGCCCCACGTGATGTTGTCCATGTTGGACGGACAGCGCACCTCGTGCATCCAGAGGTACACCAGGCTGAGGACGGTCAGGCCCATCACCATCTGCAGGATCTGGGTGGCTGTGATGATCATGGCGCAGGGACGGGGCACCCGTAGGCCGGCCGCCCGGGCTGCGTAGTACGTGTACATGAGAGAATGAACCACGTAGTTCATGGTCATGAACCAGCCGCCGCCCGCCACCTGGTCCTTGTAGGAGTACCAGGAGTAGAGCAGCACGGTGATGTGATGGTACCAGTGCAGGAAGATGAGGCGCTGCTTCCGGAGGATGATGAACACGGTGTCACCTAAAAGAGGTGGGGAGAGGGAGTCAGTCGCAAGAACCAGGGCGGAAATGTTAACCTCAGTACGTCAGTACCAGCAGCTGATTTCGGAGAAAGTCTGGGTCAACACACAGAGCACATACCAAATGTAAACACAACGTACATGCCTGGATGGACATCTCACTCTGCTAACTTCTTGCAGCAACACATCAGTTGCTCAATTTCAACAACACTAGGCTGGAAAAATGTGAATGCAGGCTGAAATTCATCTGTGCCCTTCTGTCGAGAGACGCAGCAACTAAAACGGTGAGGAACAAAAAGTATAAATACAACATTAATTCATTAAAGCAGCTGTGTGGAACTTTTTACCATTAATAAAACTGTCCCTAGTTCGTATCACCCCCCCTTGAAGATCCGCATATTTATTTAAACCCAGCAGCGACAAAAAAGCCTTTCTCTATATGGCTATTTAGCATAGCCTCGCACGGTTCGGACGGACAGCGGAAGTCAGCAAACTAGTATACGGCACCCGAGGCGGAAGTGATTCTGCTTGCCTGCAGCGGCCCGCAGCCATTAAACCAGAGAAGAAGAAGAGCCGTGTTTACAGAGAGTGTTCTCCAAGTAAGCGGTATGCAACGGGCATTGTTCAACACATAACAGTTTTACCAGATGTATCTATAAGGACTTGGTTGTACTTTTGATGTCATGGCGGATAAAGAAGGAGCACCATCTAAAAGAAAAAGAACAGAAGAACAGAAGAAGGCTAAACGGGACTAAGGTTAGACCGATACATCGGCCGGCCGATATATCGGGCCGATATTTGAGTTTTTTACTTGTATCGGCATTGGCCGATACGCACGTGGGTTTGCGGATTTATTTTTCCCTGGCACTTTTTTTTCATTTGAAAGTATGTGGTTAAGTTGAACAAAGCTGTTGAATCCTACTGTGTACAGTAGTTGTTGTTTTATTTATGCTTCAGCTTAAATATTTGTTTATTTTATAAAGACATTACTGGAAGATTTAAGAGCACTGAACTCTTTTTTTTATTTGAATGTATAATAATAATAATAATATTCTACCTGTTCTACCTCAACTTTCCATCTTGTTTTAATATTTTTTACTGTTCAATAAATGTTTCTTATTTTAAACTTGAGACCTGTAATATTTGTTATCATTGTGTCATTTTTTTGATGTAAATCGAGGGAGCAAAAGCAGTATCGGCCCCAAATATCGGCTCAAGAAAATCGGCAGTCCATAATCAGTCATCGGCTAAGGGTGATGGAAAAAAATAGGTATCGGCATCGGCCCTAAAAAATCCATATCGGTCTATCCCTAAACGGGACAGTGATAGGGCTCGAGCCCAAACATGTGTAAACCTCGGTCAGGCATTCACCAAGTGGAGAGAGCTGAGAGATTTGAAAGGTTTTAAAACTGATCCTGAGTTGGCCCTTTTCCTAATCAACAGGTATGTAATTTTTGTTTTTATTCAGAGAATATACCGCAACTTGTTAGACGTTGTTTCACTTCAATATATGACAACATGGAAGTTATAAGCAAGCTAAATGTAACGTTAGCTGATGTGAACCGCTTTTGTCTCGTAACGTTACAACAAACGCCACAAAATGATCTGTGACTGTGACCATGAACACAAATATACAGCAGGCAGTTGTCCTCAGTTTATAAGAAATTCAGAGCTACACCAGAACATTTATGAACAGGTCTACTAACTTGTGTGTAACGTTAGCATGTTAGCATGTTTCCACTAATTACTTGGACTGACCTGACGTTAGTAGCGTTAGCTTTGCAAGCGAAGGCTGCAGGTAAGAGCTTTGCTGTGTTGGATTAGATCAGAACAGAAACATGACAGGAGAATTTACTGAGTCATTTTGCTGTTTCCACTAATTACTTGGACTGACCTGACGTTAGTTAATCCTCTCGCTCTCCAAAACAAATGCATGCGGTAATTGCCAGTTGCAGTTGAGATTTTACGACACCAGGCTGTGGGTGTCATACCGCTTCGACCAAAGGGGCGCCATAATCAACGAAAACGAAAAGTTCCGCACAGCTGCTTTAAGCTCTGATCCAGAGGAGAAGTCCATTAGCTGCTAGGCTAATTTATGCAATGTAAATGTGCTTTAGCTAACGATGAGTGACTGGCAACAAACAATTGTTTTGTCTACAGGAAACTACAACGTGGAAGTGCGCTCGACTATGAAAGCCCGAATGACTGCGGACATACCTCACGGAGTAGTAGTCTCTGCATGTTTCTCCTGTTTGTAGAAGAGCATCTCACACTGCTGTAGCAATCCTAGACTGCCCTCGTGCGGTTAGGAGCTGAATTGCATGTCAAATAAAGGGGGGAAATAAGACGGCGAATAGTAATAGTCGCATTAAAAAAATCGATTTTTCAAAAATAAAACGACTATTCGAAAATTGAAAATCGTGACCCATCCCTACCAAAAACACATCATTGAAACCACAAAATATCTCCATACTGCTCGTCCGTAGTGGTCCAAGATCCCTCGGCATATGGGTGAGTAGATAATGGCTGAATTTTCATTTTTGGGTGCACTAACCTTTAAGGAAATAGATGATGGTTTGAGTTAAAATTAAAGATTGTTTCCAGAAAAGGTTTTCTGACAGAAAGCTCTGAAAGTTAACTTATTCAATGTGCTGTTTTAATTAGTGGAGTCAATTTAAAATAAACTTCACTGCACTTAAGTGGTTAAAATTATTTACATTACATGTTGTTTTAATCTTTAATGGCCAAAAGCAAAAAGTAAAGGGGTAGCAGCTTCATCTGTAACAGATTTTGTTAAAAGGGCGGATAATAATCAAAATTGTATCGCAGCAGAATGTGTGATATCGGCAAATATGGTATCATTGTCCAAACAATGGATGTAATATTGAATCATAATGAAACTAGAGATTTACACGCCTAAAAACTTATCGTATCGTATTTCTGGTCAGATTTGTAATTTTGTTGATTTATTCTTTCCTCTGACAGTTCCTGATTTAACTCCAATATTTGCTAATTTTAGACCGTTATTATGACCTAACAGGGTTTATTATGACCTAACAGGGTTTATTATGACCTAACAGGGTTCACCTCTACCTAACAGTGGACTAACTAACTGGACGAATAACAGGAGTAATCAAGATGGTTTGGGTAAGTTTTATTTTGTCTCTGTCAAGTTTAAATGAAGTGTGAGTTAACGAGGTGAGTAAGCGCTATATATATATATATATATATGTATATAGGCCTCAGGGAAGAGCAGT